ATGGAGCCCATTGTCAGGAATCAGAGGAGGGTTGCGATCAAGATGCTTCAGGGAACACTTGATAATGTGGTGGCTTCGTCAGAGGAGCTGCAAGCAGCTTATAAGAACGTAACTGCAGATCAGCCGCTTACGTTGCTTCCTTCGATCTTGAGGAGGGAGAAGACTGCGAGAAATTTCTTAGACAGCGCCGAAAGGGCCAACCGCGAAAAGCGGGAGAGAGAGAAGTATGCTGTGCTCCTTAGCGATCTTATCCGAGAAGCGGGGCTGCCGGTTGTTTCTGAGATACGCAGCTTGAGTGATCCCGAAGCTGCATACAAGCGTTTGTTTGGTGCAAGGCGCAGCAAGACATTGAGGAATCGGTATCGTTCCTGGAAGCGTTTCTCGCAGTGGCTAGCTGTCACAAAGGGAAGATCTTGGCCCAGTGGGGCTGCTGATTTGATTGACTACGCGGAAGAGCTGTATCAGGATGGATGCGGGAAGACAACACTTGATTCCTTGCAAGCTGCGCTGGCTGTTTTGGAGACGGCTGGGAAAGTCGTGGAGACTAAAAGGTTGTCTACGGACATACTCTGGACATCAGCCTTGAAGAGTATAAACTCTGACTTGTCCGGTGCGAGGCCGGCTAGGAAGAGTGCGGAGCTGCCTACGGTTGCTACTGTCGTGGCATTGGAGCTGCTCGTTGGGAGCCGTGACGTCCCGACATACAAGCGGGCGGTTGCTTGGGTTTTCCTTGTTATGATTTGGGCTTCGCTTCGGGCAGACGATGTACAAAGCATTTTGCCTCACACTATGGTTTTCAATGGGATTGGACTCAGTGCTGTGTTGGGGAAGACGAAGACTACCGGGCCAGACAGGAAGACCAAAGAAGTTAAAATCTTTGTTGCAAGGGAAGTGAGTTTGACTGGAGTCGACTGGCTTAAGTTGGGCTACGAGATCTGGAAGGGCTATGACAAGCCCCGTGACTTCTTGGTTATGGAGGCTTCTTCTGATTGGACCGAGCCCACTGGTCGCGGGGTGGAGCCAAGCACTTTGACATTGTATCTCAGACAGATATTCCGAGAGCTGAAGGCACCGCGCTTCACCAGCAGCGGTTGGAGGTTAGATCCCAGGGGCCTGCTTTACCCTAAGGGTCTTGAAGGTAGTTTGACTGGACACGCTTTCAGAGATTGGCTGCCTTCTTTAGCTGCGGCCTTGGGGGTGCCGAAGCCCGACCGAGATTTTCTGGGGCGATGGGCCATCAATAATTCTGGTGGTTCGGCAGACTACGTCAGGACGTCCAGAGATGTGGTTCAGCGGGTGCAAGGGCTGGTGGCGTCAGCCTTGTCACGGGCGAGCCAAGGCCGTACCTAGAGCATGAGGCCTTGGAGCGAGTTTCGCAGCTTATGAACTTGATTGATGGTAAAGGATCACATGTTCGCAATTGGCATGATGTTTTGCGCAAGTCCAGTGGACCGCCAAGGTTGGGTGGTAAGTGGCCCACGTTTATCCCTCAGGTTGACGAGGACGAGCGAGAAGGTCCCCATGATCCGGTGGCTCAGGGCCGTCATGAGGGGGATGAGACTTCGAAGTATTTCATTACTGTCTCGAGGAACAGTGGATTCAGAAGGTTGCATTTGAATGGCTTTTGCTATGTTAAGGCGTACAGGTGTAGCAATGTCGTCTACACAAACCACTTGAGCTCCGATCAGATTGATTCGATTTGCAGAGATTGCAAGCATCGCATGCGGCAGCAAGCTGGCGAGGATGAAGCATTGGATAGCTCCAGCTCTAGTGGAACCTCTAGCGAGCCCGAGGAGTGACGAGCATTGCCATGCAAAACATCCGGTCAGGAATGCGCCGAGCTGCATTTGTTGTCACTTAGATTCGCAGGAGATTCTCTGACTTGCATTCATGTACATGTTCTGCAGTTGATTGAGTGAGTGAGATGTTTTCGCGACTTGATTGGTCAAGGTCCGAGGGCATGTCATGCTTGCGACATTTTGACATGTTCATCATGGCTGATTGTTTTCCTTGGACAGGATTGACAGTCAAGCACTGAGAATTTCATGTTAAGTCAGTTGGCCCTCCGTAGTCAGCTCCGTTGGATGGACTCTCAGCGAGCATAGCTCAGTCCGTTAGTGGCCGCAAGGGCCCGGGTTGTCACACCCCTTTCAGTTCTCAGATCTCAGCTTGAGCTTGACTAAGTTTCTTAGCGCTTCAAGTGTTCAGATGGCTGTGTCAGATGAAGACAAGAGGGCCGCCGTGGCCCTTGCCAACTCAGATTTGCAGTACGTGCTTCAGGAAGCTGGGGCGGACTTGAGCACCCAGTATGCCGTGTGCTCCCTGCACACAACGATCAGACGCTTTCAGGCAATCGCCGACACTAGGTCAGAGGCGAGGCAGGCCGCAGCGCGGGACTTCGGCTGCTCTTCGGACACAGCTGCAGGTCGGCAGCAACAGGCAGCGGTGGTGGCAGCATGGGAGCTTGCCAAAGAGGTTTCGGCAAAGGAGGTGGAGCTTCGCGCTGAGTCCAAAGTCCTTGGACAGCCCAGGGTGCTTCAGGTTCAGGAGCGCCAGGCCATGTTAGCAGCTGTCACAGCGGTTCATGGTCGCTTGAACGAGGGCGAGACGCCTTCAGCAGAGTACCTTGCTCTCAAGGCCGAGGAGTGCGAGATTAATGAGCCGACTGCATCCCCACTTGATTGCATCAGTGCCAAGCGCGACAATCTTGAGAGCCAGCTTCAAAGCACTGTGGATGCTCAGGGCCACATTCGAATCACAAAGGTTAAGCATAAGCTTGAGGTGCCGGTCAACAGTGAGCACTACCGTCGCAT